GTCGTTACGAGGAAAGGAGGGAGGAGCTTGCAGAAGACGCGGATCAATAGGAGGATTGTTGTTGTAAGAGCCGTTAGAGGGTTGGGGCTGGGGGGAGAATACTGTGGGGCTGCAGCTGAGTGGAGGATGCACTGTGTGATGGCAGATGGGGCTGCAATTGGGGGGAGGATGCACTGTGTGATGGCTGAGCGGCACCCTCAAAATTCATCGAGGGACCAGCCCTGCCAGGGTCACCATGCGCTGTACGAGCGCATAGAGATTACCCGCGTGGTCAACCTCCGGCCTGGATGGAAATGCGATTTAATCGCAAAGATGGGATCGAGTGCCACATGCTATTGAGATCGGTATACCATGGAAGTTCAGCATTGACTTCATCTGCAAAGTTCGATCGGTCAATGATCAAGAAATAAGTATAAAGGACTCACCCAATAAGTTGTTCGAGTAGTCGCGTCCAATGGCACCACCACCAGCACCCGTTGCGCTGAACTTGGCCTTGCACTTCTTGTATTTATTTTTGAGACTTGAAATTTTATCAGCGTAAATAAGAACAAGAGAAAGAGACTTACGCTGTGATGCAGTTGGCGACTGACACACGAAACTTCTTCAGATCCTGATGATATGCGGTCCTTGTATTTGGGGTGGGTCACAAAGATGAGCTTGGCAATAACATCATGTATTTCATTCTTGTCCTTGCCGAGGGGGCATCATCAACGTTAGGCATTGCTTTTCTTACCATCAGAATAGAACAGGATGCGACAATCAGGTGGGTGAGTAGTCAGATGATTGATGAGGATTGTAGTGAGAGCATGATCCCTTTCCCACTGGATAGCGAACTTGATTGTATCTTGACGATTGGATTCAGGTTGTCGTTGCGACGAGGAGGCCTGCGGATCCATTGGATTTGAGCGCACCTCTTGAGTGTTGGCTCTAAGTCGTGCTGAGCGACGAGCAAGATGGCGAAGGGCAGGCATTGGTGTTTCAAACTCCGAAAGCCTGACTTCGAATTGCGGGTGCCATGCAGGCTGTGTTTTTTCGACTTTCCTGACGAGGCTTTAGCCGTGAGTAGCCGGGCGCCAAAATCTACCTTGAGTCCCACTATTGAAAGTGAGTCACATTATTGATACCGAGTTGTACCTATCATTAGTAATGATGCATCAGATGGCCCATCAGATTCAATTATGTACGAATCACCTCACTGTTACAGTGTTGCTTCCTACCACCATCCTCCCTCAATTTGCCCTCGATCCTACTTTTTGACACACTGAGTCGCACCTCAGACCACTTCGACTGTCAAATTGCACAATTTCAATAGTTTACAAGGTGCGTTATCACAGTTGTCAAGTCTTTAAATTTATTAGACTGATTCTTAGTATTAATGATGTTAGACCGAATATCCAGACCCTCAGAGCTTATCATACACTCAACTCTACTGTCTGAACCCAGCGTTTCTCCATCAGACTCTGCGAAGACTCAAAAAAGGTGAGTCTCTTCATAGTTTAATTTACCCCAGGCCTATTATTAACCTTCAACGAATTTTATCAGGTGTCTTGGACTTGCCGCTGGATCAAAACCGATCTCGATGCCTTCTGACCCCACACTCCAGACGTGTTCATATTGTAACACACAATACCGTCGTCAAGGATTCTGAACACACGAGAATGCTTGTCAGAAGCGATACAAACAAAGAAGAGAGGATGTTGAGCTTGCGAGGCTTATTCGACGAGGTATGTTCATTGTTTCAGACATTACGGCTTCACGCTAAAATACTAAATGTCAACACACTGTAGAGAGAGAACATGTGCAGCAAGGTAGCATTTTTGATGGCGAACGACCATCTGCTTTTAGTGAGTCGTGATTGTCTTGCAGCCTTAATCACCAATCCTAACTCATTCGACCACTGATAAGCTGCCTGCGATCATTCACAGTACATCAATATTGATGTCGACTTCAGTCATCCAGATGATACTGATATAGGACAGACATCTGAACAAGGTATGTCTTGAAAACATTCTGCACATCCGAGTTTGCAACTTTCATCTGTATTTTAGATCATCTGCCGCCGTCCAGAACAGCATCACCTGTATCTCAATTCGAAGTTGATGATATACAAGTCCGGTATCACCCCAACAGTGGGCGCCCTACTCAAGTTTACCACTTCGAGGATTATAGATGTGGCCCTGGTACCCCAGCAGCACCTCCGAAAGTTGATCCTGAGCCCTGGCGTCCATTTCGCACTTGTATTGACTTTGAAGTGGCCGAACTTGCCCATGAAGCTGCGCTAACTCATGAGCAGACGGACCAGTTCATCAAACTCATTCACCGCAGCAGATGCGAGTTGTTTATGCTTCAGAATTGTAAAGACATGCGAGACATGTGGGATGCAGCCTTGTTCAAATTGACTCCTGTTTGTATCCAATCACTCTGAGTGTAGAATATATCCTTACTTTGAATACCATAGTTTACGAAGGAAGAGGTTGTCGTGCCCTTCCAAGGCATTGATCAGACCTTTCCATTTTTTCATCGCTCACTATGGGACTGGGTGGTGGACCTACTTCAAGATCCTGAAGTTGGTCCACATTTTGTTTTCGATGCCCAACAGCTTTTGAAGTTCGATGGCAACAAATTCGTTCAGTATATTCATGAGCCTTGGACTGCTAATGCCTTCTGGGAACATCAAGTATGTGGTGCTATTACTCATGTTATGAGTTCAATGTGCGTCTCGGTATACTAATCGAATATCATAACAGTTGAAGATACCATCAGATGGCAAACCACTTGCATTTATCCTCTACGCAGACAAAGCCAAATTATCATCCTTTGGTCGTGCAAAAGGCTATCCAATAGTTGCGCGATGCGCTAATCTTCCTGCTGCTGTTTGCAATGGTGAGGGCTTGGGTGGTGGGCAAGTTGTAGGTTGGTTACCCATTGTTAGTAGCTTTTGCTTGACTCAATGATTGTGTTATCACTAACTAATACTGGCACTTCAATAGGTAAAAGAAGACAAGAAACATTCCGGAAAGCTGACCTTCGTTAATTTCAAGAACACGGTATGGCATATGTCATTTTTGATGCTGCTTGCTTGTCTCGCACTGCTATCAAAGCTCGGATCTCCTGTTAAATGTTGGGACGATGTTGTCTGCATTTTCTATCCAATAATACTGATACTATCTGCAGACTACGAAGAGCAGTGAGTGATCTAAATGTTACTAGGTAACATCTGAACCTGAAAGTTAGTTCACTATTACAGAGTTGTGATGGCGTTGATTCGTGGACTCATGGGAAAGTTTCCTTGCCCTGTTTGCCTCATTCCTCGTGAGGAGCTCTCTAAGGGATCAAACACATATCGGCTTCGCACGTCTGTAGATGCAAAGACATTACGTGCTCGGGCTCGAGAGTCTATGACAGCAGAAGTAAGAGAGCAGGTATTGAGCTCTGAGAGTCTCCGTGATGTCGATGTAAGTCTTTCACCTCGATTTTGTTTTGTTTTGTCTAATATTACTGTAACTGTCACTGTCAGAGTGCATTTGACACCATGGAGCACACCGATGTCTACCGAGCTCTATCTTTCGACAAACTTCACTTTAATGATGAGGGAAAGTTTCGATCACCTGTGGACTGAATTGCAAAAATGGATCACTAATTCCGGTCGGCAAGCTGCTGGTGTTAATTGATGCTTTGCAAGTATTTCTTTGTCTGTAATAATAGGTAGATGATAATTTACATTGCCAGCTTCGAATCATTTCCACATTGGCGAAATTTGAATCATTTTGACCAGGTTGTATCAATATCCTTTGCTGATGGAACAAAATACGAGGATATATCGAAGGTATGTGTATCTAATTTCAAGCTTTTGATCAATTATTCACGTCATTTAATAGCTGATTGTTTTCGCTGCCCATAATGTATTCAAGCATGATCTGGACCCACAGGCTTACCTTCTGCTTCAGTTGTATTCGGAGTTACGTAGAATTCAACATGTATGCATCGCTCGAGGTCCACACTGAGGATACGATCAGGGATGGCCGAAATACATTGTCAGAGCTTACTGAACTTATGGATGTATGTTTTTGTTGTATATCGTCAATTGATGCTACTAATTCAGATTTACGAGTCAGATATATATCAAAGATACAGCAGACCTCTTAGAGAAGTCATGGAACTTTCCCAAGATGCATCTTTCCAGCTCATCTCTTCGACGACATCGAGGCAAAGGGCGTCACCCGAAACTACAATACAAAGCCAAATGAGAAAATGCACGGCCCACTGAAGAACACTTATCAAGATCGTACAAACTTCAAGAATTTCGCAGAACAGGTAATGCACCAGTGGCTTCTTAGATACAATGTGAATCGAGTGCTGATAGAGCAACATGTTTTAAAGATTCTTCGATACAATCATGATAGCTTAGTTGCGGAATACATTCGTAGCAAGATGGAGTGCCTTGATGCGCAGAATCTCGACAGTCCCATCAATCGACGAACCTGATCCATTGGAGGCTAATTCGGATGGGCTCGAATCAACTGAACCAACTGATGTGCAGCATTTTAGTCTTGGTTCGCAGCAGGCAATTCAAATCATTTGCAGATATTGAAGCAGCTAACGCAGGCGATGCAGCCTTTGATCGATTCCGGATCAAACTTAATGAATTTTTGAATCGTGCATTTGCCGCTAATGGTATACCATTTCCCAACGGAAGACGTATTCAACTTGCTGTGAATGACATGGTGCGTCGAACATCTGCAGCCCTTGAATGACATTACTGATAATATCTTACCCTTGCTCAGATAACCGAGTTCAGATTCATCAAAGTTAGCTACGAGTCACTCGTTGACTGGCGAATTTCCGTGGACTATCTCCGATGTAATCCAATGTTCCATGGATCACCTCGATATGATTGCGTCATCCTGCAGGCAGAATCTGGTCCCATCTTTGCCAAACTGTTGTCAGTCTTCACCTGCATAGTTGGGGATGTCACATATCCTATTGCACTCACACTCCCATACGATCAACCGGTGGGCACTCGACCGCGGAAGGATAAAGACTTCAAATTTTGGCGAGTCAAGGCGAAGCCCAGAGCCTCTGCTGAGTGCTTTTCGGTCCAGTCAATAATCCGTGGTTGTGTACTGGCAGAGGATAGTTCGAGAGTGAACGAGTTCTTGGTTGTTGATACGACTGATACAGATATCTTCCTTCGAATGAAGGAAATTCGTACAGAGGCTGGTTATTAACAGGTTCGTCACTCGTCACTCGTCTACCATCACCCTTATCCTTTTCACGCATCCCTCATGAAACTTCACACTCGCACCTATTGACGCCCTCACGCAACTTCAGGCTTGCACCTGTTCATGCCCTCACCCTCTCACCACCATCCGCACACACATTCGAGCACCCTCGAACGCCTGGCGTTCAGCCCCAGTCCACACAGGCAAGTGCCAATGCGATGGCAACCAAATGCGAGGAGATTGAAGGATCGGGGAGTTATTGTGATGAGAGGAAGTCCATGGTTTGTCCCTCCTGCATATCCCTTTTGTCTGCATGCTTCATTCCTGCCTTACATTTTGCATTTACTTTTGCCTTTCAACCCTTCCCCTACACTTACACACTTCGCACCCTAACACTTTCATTTTTATGTCCATACTATGTCCATTTTACATCGTCATTTTGTCATTTTGCGTCCTTAGTGTCACACTGAATCTACTTATTGCTCTTGGGGGCTCAACCATTCACCTGCATTCGCTTGTGCTGGCCCCTGCGTGTTCATCTAACCGAGTCCAGTATCAGGGATTTCCTCGTTCATGCACCAGCAGCAGCGCGAGTCCAGGAGCTCACGCTATATGGTGACCAAACATTCCCATCTCCACTCACCACGGAAGATCCAGCTGAAATAGCATCTTCCGCGCCATGTTTCACATCTGGTGAACTTACCTACCTCGACCTCTCAAGCGCACCTGTGACTAGAGAGCTTCTCATTGACGTTTTCAAGCCACAGCCGAAGTTGCGGTTGCTTGCTTGTTCAGACTAGCCTTAATCTAGATTGGGTCAGGGCCTGACCTGGCATTGGTGCACCTCGAGGCTCGGCACAGAAGGCAATGGGCTGCTGTGCACGCCACGCCCCCCCCCCCACATGTCCACTCTGCACTCGCAGATGGTTGTAATAACCTCCTGCTCCCATGCGGCTTTGGAAAATGAGTAAGTACTCCAGATACTGACACATCTCGTGCTCCATCTGGTTAATTTCGCGCAGTTGAAACATGCCCTGCGCCACAATATGTGGGTGTCAAAGCGGCTGGAGGTGGTGGCAAGGGATTCGTGGTAGGAGGAGGGGTTGTCTTTGAGGGGGAAGGGAGAATATAAGTTGGGTAAGGTCCTTGACCTATGAAATCCTTCTTGACCATGTCCTCGAACTCCCTCAGTGTTCCTACATCAGATACTGACACATCTCGTGCTCCGTCTAGTTAATTTCGTGCAGTTGGAACATGTTAAATTGCTTATCAGAGATATTATCACAGTAATAATAACTGTAACAGTGAGCATGACGGTTACAGCATTATGTAATAAGCTGACATGGTGTTTTTTCGGCCAAGTCCATTGGTCACAACCCGGTCGCAACCTGGTTCCAACATTCATGCATCGCTGATTCAGAACCTTAGACGTCGATTCAGACGTTTAACTGTTGTCATCGCTTGTTACTTTTAAAACAGTGCGCTCAAATTATATTGCGCCTTGCGACCTTTTTACTCATCTTTCATGATTTAGGGTCTTTGCATTGCCAGACATTAATATAGTCCAGGCGACGCCACACTGGTAAACTACCTCATGTCTGATTCATTGTATTACTTTCTGACATGTTATTACATGTTATCAAGTACATTATGCATGTAAGTTGCCACATGGATTATCTTCCCTTGGTGCCGATTCTGAACCGAACGCTGCTCGGTTGTCAACACACAGCAAATTTCGACTATAAATTCTCCATCGCCCATCACACATCATTGTGGCCATCAGTCTCCCAATCTACTGCGCGAATCCTTCCTATTATGCCCCAGTACGCTCCCCGTCAAGTTGGCACACCTGATAACTCTGACTCGTCCGAATATGAATCGGACTCTGGTCCAGCGTCTGTCGGCGTCTCGTCAATTAGCCAGCCAACGGTCTTGAATGGTCGAATGCCGCAACACGAGGACATGGAGGTATGTTTCATTCCTGCAACTATGTATTATGATATGCTCTCCTAATCGTGTTCCTTGAAGATCATCTGGCGCTTACAACTTGAAAACCAAACGCTCAAGAACAATAATCGTGCTTTAGGCGAGACGAATAAGACATTATCAGCAAATCAACGGCGATCGTCTTCGAGTACCCAAATTCCAGATGAGCTGAAGGCTTTTGACGCTGAACTTGCAACTTTTTCCCGCAAGTATGGTATCATTGCAGAGATGTTCCCACCCATGCACCGCATCCTCAAACTTCCTGTGCCGAAGCCTCCACCTGCCATCCTATCTGGGAGCCGCTATGCAACCAAGAGCGCAGAAGAACTCTGTCTTGTAACAGAGCTATACTCACTTCTCCCAGATCATCTTCATCGCTTTGTACCGACTAGTCATTTCCAATCGTTGGTATGTGGTCTTAAGTTCAATGTTATGTGATCTATTATAGCAAATTGACTATTGGTATATAACACCACAGCTGGGACAACATCTTCAAGGTGGCCGCTCAAGTGAGATTGGCAAGTTGCGAGTGATGGCAGGGCGTATTTTCAGGTCTTGATTCTTCCTACTTCGACACCGGGTTTACGAAGCGAGACACTGATCCCCGAAATCCAGAAACTGCTTGGTCAATCATCTTCGATGTTTCCACCTGTCCTTTTTACGAGGCAAGAAATGGACCTAACGATGTCAACAGTTTTCGGTAACTGGGAACCGCTCGCAAAGGTATTTTTGCTATGGCTGCCTGAAGAAACTGTGCTTGTACTAATGTGTGTATAACAGGCGATTAGAATTGTAATGTTCGGAAAAAATTCGCTGGACATTGTTGGGTGGCCACGCGCTAAGTGTAATGCTCGAAAGTGGGGCATAACATCATGCACCCCTGGCCTCCTTGCCTGGGGTTGGGTTGCTGGTGAGTTGTCCCTTGTTCGCTATCATCAGCTCTCGGTGTCTAATGATTGTTTAGTTGATATTTATTCTGTCCTCAGGACACTTCATTCACTAAAGATGGAGTCGGTGCAAGGTCTCGACTACCGTATGCAGCCATGTTCACGGCCTACAAGCAACTATGGGTCATGCTTTGGGAAGAGCCCCGTATCATTTCGATCCGTCAGAAAATCGATACCCATGTCTGGCAGTCATCGACCTCGAATGTTGCAGCCTCAGAAGCTGAAGGCGAAGATTTCACTTCTGATCTAATGCGCTTGGCTCTTGCTAATGCTGGCCGCAAAGATTCAGATTCTCCGACTATCAATGAAGATCCTGCACCTCCCACAACCCCTACTTCACCAATAATTGATACTCCAGTTGTCATTGCGCCACCTGTCCCTCCCACTGTACCAGCTATCACCCCTGCCACGTCGCCCCTGGACCAGGCCACTGAAACTATCATCAACCCAGTTCCCAGATCCGCCACCTGATCAACTTCCAGTCTCACTCACAGGCAATACCAATGGGGAGATCATGTCACAAGCTGTAGCCTCTGGGTCATCGTCTTCTCGACAGGGCCTGAGGCAAAAAGGCTGGCGTACTTGCACCAGTTTCAGTTGTCAACTGATACAGCAGAGCAGCAATGTGGTTGGCCAGTGAGATCTCGCAAGAAGAAGCAGTAGCGGTAATAGTGGAGGATTATGCATATTAGATTGAATATTATTTGAATGGTTACAATGAAATTTATTCTGTCTCAAGGATGTCCGAATTAACTTGAAACCTATGCGTGTTTATTCTGACATTATTGAAACACACCTTGAGATTTGGATCTCAATCCAGTTTCAATGTCGCTACTATTGCCTAACTTGGTTGAAATTTTGGTTGAAAGGCTCGATTGTGACCTAATTGGAACATAATTGGAATGCGAGACTCTTTTATTGCATCACATTGAGACCTAGGTTTGTCATTGGGTCATTGCAACGCGTTGCAAGGCCATGAAACCTAATTAGGAAATTTCCGACAGTCCGTATGTTCAGAATCTTTCATTCACAAACCTTGATGCTAAACATGCTCTAGTCACCTAGCTTTTCAATGACCTCACAAACATTTTCTCATAAGCCGAAGGGCCTTTAATCTATGAAGTTGTTCCCATGCTTGAAAGCCTCAAGCATTCATTGGACCGTGTTTACAATGCCACTGAGGAGCCAGATGTCATTTGAATTGCTGCAAAAGCTGCCCTTCAAATTGTCAGCAAATACTATGCCCTGATGGATGACAACGAGGTCTATAGGATTGCCATTGGTGAGTGACCATGATACGAGCTCTGTAGCACCATATTGATGTTATTATTATTATTTAAATAGTGATGTTTCCTGACAGAAAACTTAAGTGGTTCCACCAGAACCTTGACTGGCTTGATGATGACCATGCAGAGGTTAAATGAGTTGTTTGTCAGCAGTGGACTGAGTCTTATGCACCACTCCCATCACCAACCTTAACTGTCACCAACACACCATCAACACTGCAGTGCACATCATCTACTAGCAAATGAGCTACTTCCTACAGTGAAGACGAGGCCACTTTAATCTCACCTGACTCAATTGAAGCATACCTTGATGCTGCATGTGTTTCAAGAACCGAGATCCTGGCTGCAGGCAGAGTGCTTCAATATTGGGAGAATGCTCATGCCACTCAGCCTTGACTGGCTCAAATGGCCCTTGATTTTTTGTCTGCACCTGGTATGTAGGCTTACAAGTAGTATTAGCAGTGATCTAATGCTCCATAGCTTCCTCAGTTGATGCCAAACGTACTTTCTCTGATGGCCATCTACAAGTGAACCATCTTCAACACAGTATCAGCTCTCAGACCTTCAAGGCGCAGGTTGCTGTTGGGTCATGGTTCAACACACCTCTTATGCTGGATCTCAGTGTCACCACAAATATCATGCGGCAGAAGATGGCAAAGGGCAAGGAAAAAGAAACAGGCAGGGTGGTGTCATCAAAATCGACTGTGATTGATATTGCATAGTATTACCTATGTTGTATCTACAATTCATAATGTGTCACCCATGGGTGACCCATACCATCTGTGGATCCACCCGCACCTGTGGTACTCTCACCCGTATGGGTGCAGGTAGGCCTCTGAAGCTCTGTCTACCCATGGATTGGGTACAGGTGCCACACAGGTCCACCCATGTCACACCCTAAACAACTTATCTATTCATCTATAATATATTTAAGGGAGACCAGCCCTTTACAGCGAATTTTAGCCAGTGATAGGAAGTTATGTTGCTTCTCCTCATCTTTGTTAACACTAACACCATGGTTGGGAAGTCACTCTGAGTGTTTCTATGTTCAGGTCTATGCAATCTTTGTGGGCATCAGTGATGACTGTCATTTTGCCAATGTGACCCAGGACCTAATTTGCTGTACTTAGCATGCATGTGACAAGGTGCCCATGGCTGAAATAGTCCAGACACTACTGGGTCTGCAATATTTAAGACAGGTCTGAATGTCATGTGAAATGTCAAGGCAATACTTAGTATTTAGCTTGTCATGTAAGCAGATATAAAATTTCAAATGTTAAAGAGATCTTGCATGACAAGAAAAATATAAAGCATTAGCGAACATTTTGTTGCTGGCTGAATGCTATCAACAATAAGAAATATAAATATATCTTTAATGCTGGCCTATATTTTGAAATGAAACTTCACATTTAAGACTTCAAAAAACTTTAACCATTGCATGTGACCAAATGCCTGCTCATAATACGAAGTTTGGACCACCACTTAGACGGGTGTTTAAATTTAAAATACCTTCTGACAATAAAACATGAACATAAAACATCAAGTTTTGTCTCCAGATAAAATCAATCGCCCAATGATTGCCTGCTCATCACCCACTTACGAGTACATGTGTAGATTTTCTGTTCATTTGAAGAAAACTTGTACTCTTTTTGTTTGGATCAGATTGAGTCCTTTGGGGCTGCAGACCCATGTATTCTAATAGTACAATTTTTTCGCATCAGATTAAGTCCTGTGGGGTCGCAGACCCTATGTTGGACATGTTTCATCATATGCTTTCCCCTGTGTTCATGTATTCTAATATATTCTAATAGTACAGTACAGTAATGACACAAATTGTCATATCCTGTGTTCCAGACCCGGACTGTTCACACACTCATCTCCAGATGTCCGGATCTGACCCACTTCTATCTTCCACTTCTTTCCCCTTTCGTATGTCCCCTTTTAGTTAGCCCCTGTTTCTGATCTTCTGGTTATGTTCATATCCGACTGTACTAATTTATCTGGACCCTATTCATTTCCAACTCTATTTTATTATGTTCCATTACACTATTGATAAGTGTTCCATATGCTTCGTACATAGCCTTGCACTGTGCTGACTGATCTTCCATCATGTCTCCTATAGTATATAAACCCTGTAAAGTCTCTGTATATCCTCAGTTCAAATATCATCTTAGATTCTGCTCATTCCTGTTACAGTCATCTGTAACACCTACAGCAGCCCCCACTCTGCTAGACTCCCGACGTGGCAGCACACCGCCAACACTTAGAAAGACAGCGGTCTGGACCGCTGTGACACCGCCCCTGGCCTAGACGGCCTTGTACCTGATCCATGAAGGCTGTATGCCTCATGGTCACCCTAGATCGGCACATGTTGATTGTTGCCGCCTCATGAAGAACTGGAGCGCCTCCTGGCACCTCATGTATATGCGCAGTTGCTCTTGGCACTGCATGCTTGATCAGAGGCTAAACCTCATGTATCTTATCTGTACTCATGACCGTCCTCATGAACTCTTATCTCTGATAGACATAGATCCACAGATATACTATAGATACAGACTGAGCTTGAACACTTGTATATTTACATATATAAGTAGATGTTACGAACTAGGATAGTTCTAACAACGACAACTCGACAGAGCTTTCGATCGTTGAGATTCTTAGTCTCTCAGACAAGAGAGAGTTCGGTGGACTTAGTTAAAGGAGTGCTTCAACTAAGAGTCAAGTTTCTAGACGACTTAAGATTGGAGGTCTTAAGCGAAGGATGTTCCAGGTAAAACCTAGTAAGATTCAAGTAAAGAATATAGGCGTAATACATGTGCTTAAATAGATCCATATGTGCGCACAGACCAAGTCACCGTGAGATAGTAAGTACAAGTTCAAGAAAGGAAGGCATATCGAAGAAGTGTTAGGAAATATAAGGCAATGGTAATAAGCGGTTGTAACATTACCCCCTTACTAAGCGTGAAGTCACTGACTTTACTCATAATCCTGATATTCGCAGTGGTTAGAGTCGTCCTGGTTTGCCCAATAGATAGGGTCATCGGAATACTCAAGCTGATCTCCCCCTCCAGTAAGGTACTCCGCCTGTCGGAGAGCTTCTTCTTCCTGGCACTGGGCGATATACGCGTCGTCTAGACTTTTCTCCCAATGAGAGAGTTCTTGGTAGAATCCTTCGTCCTTCCAAGTGAGCGTAGTGGGGGAGGTTCCAGTGAATTTGCGGCAGTATAAAGATAGGTGTCCGGGGGAGAGTTCTCTGCATATTCTGCAATAATAATCGGGACAATTGGTTTGGCGATGGCCAAGGGTTTTGCAGTATCTGCAAACACGGTTTTCGTCTGGGTTCAAGGACGAAGGGCATAGGACGGGGGGAGCTGGACGGTGGCTGAATGCTTCATCATCACTCGAGGCTCTCTTCTTTCCCTTGCCTCGGTATCCATGCTTAGGAGACCTCTTCCTCCTTCAAGACGATTCTTTAATCTGGGCTACGTCTTCTCTAGCGAGTACGTAAACGGAGGACAATGGCATAGGAATTTGCTCTGCTTCCGCGATTAGCTCAGCGTACTCTGCAGGGGCGGTAGGTCCAAGGGCTTGTACTGGGACAAGGCAATCTACGAAGGTCGATGGGGTGAACGTAGATGGGATGGTCATTGGTGGATGGATGTGTAGCGCTTTGAGTGCTTCAGCAAGCGCGATGGTTTCGTCGAGAGAGGAACTTGATTGTTCCATGGTTATTTCTTCGTGCGTAGAGGAGAAGGCGGTATAAAGGTTTTCCGGGTGCTCTACAGTTTCTTCTGGAGCAACGACCGTATCAGAAGTGATTCCGGAAGTCGTGGAGGCTAGTTGTAAGGCAAGTTGGGTTTCTTCTTGCAGGTTAATGATCATGGCATTGGTAATCTCCGTGAGGCTGTTAACAGCAGCCAATAGCTCATCAGACACACGAGGAGGAGGAACGGGAATTCCACCGTCATAGGAAGGTGGTGGAGTCGCAGTCGTTCGTTCAGCTGGTGGTGAAGGTGGTGGGCGAGCGACTCCGGTGACTCGTTCAGCAATGATATGAATAGCTTCCTGGATATCTGCCCTAACCTCCGGAGGGATAAGATGCAGAGCGTAAGCACGAATGCGTTTCTGTAAATGCATGATGCCATGTTGAACACGTGGTTCTTCCACGTGTCGAATGAGTCTCTCAATGAGTTCGGCGGATCTAATGATGTTGACGAGGAGGTTGATGGAGAAAGCGTTTCGGTTGATAAGGATCTTGTTGATTTCAATGGCATGTTGAGGGCAAAGGATTGCAGCTTCGATGAGGGTGAGGTCTTCGATTTCTGAGATGAAGGATTCAAATCTTCCCTCATCGGAGGATAGGTTGGTGGGAGCGAACGTGGATTCATAGGGAAGAGTGTAAGAGACTGGGAAGGACATAATGTTTTATGTTGATGGGGGAATATTACAGCGAGTGTTTTCTTTTATAGATCGAAAGGGTTTCTCCGGCATTTTCCAGGTTTTCTTCCGGGATCCACTCATTGCTAGCAGAAGAATATCCTTTCCATGATACAAGATATCGGCGACGTTTGCTGGTACCTTTGTGAGCCAGTATAGCTTCGATTTTGTATTCTTCTTCTTCTTCCAGAATGTCAGGTGGTGGTTCCAAGAAGTTCGGACTGTGAACGTCATTTTCGCTATAGGAAGATAATAGGGAAGCATGGAACGTGGGATGTATTTTCCATTGCGGAGGTAGTTGGAGTGTGAACGTGATAGGTGATAGTACGGCGGAAATAGGAAAGGGGCCATATCTTTTCGGGGCGAGTTTCCGGGATGGGAGTTTTAGACGGAGATTGGTTGCAGATAACCACACCTTATCGCCTACTTTCCATGGTTGGTACTTCTGGCCAAAGGATCTTTCCGCCATCCTTTGCATGGCGATGTTGTGACAGGCTATTGCTTCTTCTCTGATTTTCTGAAGAAGTCGAACTCGTTCTTCCACAGCTGGTACCGTTGAATCTGCCAAGACATGGGGAATTCCTTTAGGCTCATATCCCATCATGATGTAGAAGGGTGATGCATTTCGGGCGTCATGCTTTCTATGATTGTGAATGAATTCTGCCATGGGGAGATGTTCTACCCAATTAGTTGGGTCGTTGCTGCAGTAGATCCGTAGGTATGTTTCTAATTCTTGATTGAGTCGTTCAGTCTGTCCATCAGTCTGCGGGTGATAGGCGGTGGAAGGGGCGATAGAATAATTGAGGAGTTGAGCCAATTCTACAGAGAATTTTGAGAGAAATTGGGGTCCTCAGTCGGAGATTACTTTGTCGTGTAATCCGAAGCGTTTGAATACGTGTTTCAGAAATAGTTTTGCTACTCCTTCAGAGGTGATGTTTTTGTGGCAAGGAGTAATTATCACCCCCTTACTAAGCCCATGGTCTACCACGACCATAACAGAATCAAAACCAGAGGAGATGGGAAGATCCGTGATAAGATCGACAGAGATCTGTGAGAAGGGGCGAGTGGCGAGGGACGAAATGGGGACGAGAGGTGGTGTAACAGGATGGGTATCGGCCTTCATTTGCTGGCAGGTGGCGCATCCTTCAACGTACTTTCGGATGAAGGCACCCATACCTGGCCACCATGCTTCGTGTTTGACCAATTCCTCGGTTTTAAAATGTCCGGGATGACCAGCGGTGGGATGATCATGGTATCGAGCCAATATGGCTTTGCAATGATCGGG